TACTCAAAAATTCACAAGGATCAGTTCAAACATATGAACAAAGAAGGGGAGTAGAGTTGAGGGGGAGTGAAGTAGAGTTGACGTTTTTATTGCTGCATATTTGAACTCCCTTTTATTGCTTGCTTTGCTTTATTTTGTTCTATATATCATGAAACTTTGTTGTTCCAATTAACTCTCTTAAAGGGAATTTGTTTAGTTGGTTGTTTATATGATGTTTTTCAGTTTCATGATTGATGTGGTTTTATATGTGTGACTAACATTGTTTGTGTTAACTTTGTTTCTTTCCTTGTCTCTTATTGATTATTTAAATTATTATTTTTAGTGAGATAGGTTTTTTTTTTTTTTTGGTCTTGTGATCAACTTGATGCTTTGTTCATAAGTTTGACAAAGCGAGAGAATGTAGAATATTTTGTCAAACTTATGTTGTATGCGTGCACACCAATTGTGTGTGTGCACAAGTTTGCCAAACTTATGTTTTTGGTATGTTCGTTTCGATGTGTGAACAACAGTCTTGTGCTGACACACTCATGTCTAATCGTGACTTATGATCGCGACTTTATTTCAAGTGTGTGCACAATAGTCTTGTGCTCACACACTCACGTCAGACATCTTGATCGCGACTTTGAGCACACTATTTTTTTGTGCTAACATCCCATGTCTGACTCAACTTGGCACAAGTTGCGTTTTTTTCCAAACAACTAAGATATTTATTCCTATCTTTTAAGTTGTCATGAGGACCACCTACAAGTGTCTCAATATCCTTTTGTGGTCTAGGGAAAAATCAGCTTTTTCCAGATTTGGTTGTGGTCTTAAAAATAAAGGTGGAATCATTTCTTCTTTTGGACAATCATGTGTCAACCTCAAGCTTTAATGAAATCCTAAGTTGGTACCCCTGATTCTATTTATTCCAGATTCTCACCCTTAAATTGACAGAAAATTATTGGATATAACAGTTAAGGGGTAAATTAGTCATTTTTCCAGAGGAGGTGCACATTAGCAGATCGCTGCCCCTAACAGTGCTCCGACACACGTTAGCTGACGTCGCCACCAACGTTTTTCGGCTTTTTCCGACGATTCTTCCACCCAAAATCACCCTTGTCACCACCATGGGATACTTCCTTTCAGGGCTAAATTAAATATAGTGAGTTTCTATAGAAAAGGCGAAGTGGGAGATTAGAAAAATTATTTAACACCTTCGATGTCTGGACACTTAGAAAAGCTATATGAAGAAAAATTTAGTGGCTCGGGCTTGACTTATAGAATGTCCTAACTAAAAGGTCTTAAAGCTTCTATATGTTTGTTACATCGATCAAAATAACTTTCCTTTTCCTTTGCTTTCTTGTAGTTGTTTCTTAGTTTCCCTTTCATTTATCATGGATAAATCGTGTAAATAAAAATTAACTTCATTGAATTAAACTATATATAAGTAGAGAGAAATGAAGAGTGTATATATTGGCATGACAACTCTGAGGAAGAAGATGCGATTTCCCTATAAAGTTTTGGGTATTATCATTTTTATTAGGCAATTAGCCCATATCGCCATTTCAAAGCCAAATATCTGGCCTTTTCACGGCCAGATTTGTGGCCGTTTCACTGCCACATCTTTGGCCGTGAAACGGCCATAGAAACACCAGATCCAGTTGTTTCTAGCCATGGATCACAGATCCATAGTCGAAAACGGCCTTACCAGCGTAGAATTTGTCAGATTTCGCCAGTCATGCACCATTACAGTGACTAGCGACGGCGACTAGCGATGGTGGCTAGTTGTCGATAGTGGCTTGGGGTGAGTGGGTGTGATTTTGCTACAAATTAAAATTTTATATGGCTGAGGTGTTTTAGCAAAATTTCAAATGTAGGAGGTTAAAAAATAATAATATTATTATTATTATTATTATTATTATATTAGTATTTAAAATGGGGGGCAATTTAATAATCTATATAACATACCCACCCATTTATCCTCCCAAACAAACATATTAATATAACATACCCACCCATTTATTTCAACCAACCAAACACATTTCCCTAAATATTCCTGGTAATCTTCAAGGTAATCTATCTTTTCATTAATATAACATTCTCAGTAATAAAACATTCCCTGAACCAAACGCACCCTAAATGTCATTAGAGTCGTTGAGAGGTGATTTATCGAATGGTATCAATAAACAGATTATAAAATGAAGGAGATTGGCTGATAATTGGCAACTATTATGATCAAAGTTTGGTGTATGTTTAAATCATTTGAACGAGCTTATTGGTAAAATAAATTATTAAAAGGTTTAAGTTTTATGCGGATTACAAACGGTATTAAAAGAGATTTACAATCTAATTAAAACTAGCTGCAAGTTAACCATTTCATGCTAGAGTTAACAACTTTTTCCCACCCAAATAATGGCTTAATTAGAGCTGGGCATTTGGGACCGAGCCCAAAAGCCCAGCTCTAAAACTCGGTCCTAGGACCGGACCTTGGAGGCCTGGTCCCAAAACGGGACCAGGCCTAAGGAGGAGGGCCCGGGCCCTCCATTGGGCCCTCCTCCAAGGCCCGGGCCTGGGCCCAAAAAAAATTGTATTTTTTTAATGTAGTCCCTGCCAAATTACATAAAACCCCCTGTTAATTTTAAAATAAATATAAATTACGAGGGTTAAAATAAAATTTTACAAAATTTATAAAAAAAAAAAAAATCTTCCAAGTCTAAAAAAATTATAAATTTTACCCTTAAAAAATACTAAAAACCCCCTATAAAATTTTGTTTTGCCCCCAAAATATAAAAAAATTGAGGGGAAAAATGAAATTATCCAAGGCCCATGGGACCAGTCCCGACCAGGCCTAGGGCCTGGTCCGGGTCCTGGTTTTTCTCATGGGCCTGTGACCGGTCCCAGGCCCATGAGTGACTGGTCCCATTTGGGACCAGTCCCAAGGGACTAGTCCCAAACGGGCCCAGGCCTGGGCCCGCAAGGGACCGGTCCCTTGCCCACCTCTAGGCTTAATGACACTTTCCTATCCACAAACTTTTAAAATACCACTTTATTACCTAAATTTATATTCCAACAGCAAACAGAGAGCAAACTCAATTTAGGTTGTTGGGGATTCTAAAGAGGGGAGGCCAATAAGTCTTTTGGTAGTGGAAGATTGAATTTTTATAGTTGGGATTGATCAGAATTTGACTTGGGACAAGTGGCTACGCAAACCCTAATCGCTCGATTGGAGGTGATTGGTGAGGTTGGCGGGAGTAGGGTTTGAAGGGTTTTGGTGAATGATGATCGAGAAGGAGAACGGTGGTGGTGTGGGGTCACAACGATGCTGGAATCGAAATGGAATATTAATTCAGGCAATAAAGTGGTATTTTAAAAATCTGTGGGTGAGAAATAAAATGCCATTAAGCCATTATTTGGGTGGGAAAAAGTTGTTAGTCTTTCATGCTATGATTTGAATCATTGATGGCATGAAAATCAATTAATTATTCTTATGTCTTAAGCAATTAATCAAAGAATTTGGTAACCTAAAAAATTGATTATGAAAATATATATTTTATTAAGAATTTTCAAAGGTGGGTTGGATATCTTTTCAAGAAATGATTATTTAGGTTTTAATTACCAAAACACTCTTAAGATTAATAGAAAATATAAAACGCTTTTGTTGTAAAGACATATGGATCTACCACTAGTTGACACTTTTTCATCATGCTATTGGAAGGGGTGTGCAAAACCAGATATCCGGTCCAGTTTTGCATTTTTCTCATTCGATCTAGAAATTTGAAACCTGATCCAAATCCGATCCTGATTTTGCTTGATTCAATTTTGATTCGATCCAAATATTCAGATCAGATAAACTGGATATCTAGTTTTGATCTGAATTTTCATGGAAATTATTATTTGCCCCTAAAATTTTGTATTATTTTTTTGTACCCCCTTCTACATCAATATTTCATTACATTTTGACCCCCAAAGTTGTCATCGTATTTTCCACATACTTTACCACTTTTCACCTAGGATCCCAAAATAGCTTCTCAAAACTTGTAGTTACGGACAAAACTGGATCAGATCTGGATATCCGATTTCTTTGCAAAGTCAATCCAGTATTCAATCCAAAAATCCAGATCTTCCAAAAATTGATATCTGAATCTGATCTGAATTTTTGGATTATCCGGTTTTTTCGGATTAGATATCGGATCGATATGGATCAGATATCAAATATCGACTATTTTTGCACACCCCTAGCTATTGCCACAATTGACATGTGGCAAAAAGCGTCATTGCCACCTTTGACACGTGACAAAAAGTGGCAACATTTTGTACATGCTTGCTAAATATGCGACACACCTAATGGTTAAATGGCAAGTTTCGATTAGTTTGGGGGCAGCGGGTCACTATATAAACCTCTTCCGCCTTTGTAATTTCGCAGTACTGATATAAGAGTTAAATCAATTAGAAGGAAAAATCTGGATGTTGGCTATATCGTTTCGATCAGCAGCAAATCTTTGGAAGATATGATTGGTACAACAAATATTTTTCTAATATCTATTTAGAATTTAATATTTGAACATGAATCACACTTTCATTATTGAATTAAGACCTAGCTACGGTGATTAGATTAATAATATAACTGAAGTCACATCACTTTTTTTTTTTTTTTTTATGACCAGGTAGTACTCAGGCACCCCAGTTTACATATATTTCAACTAATCTTTCGAGACCTAGAATTATTAGTCGGATAAGAGCTTCAATGGCTATTTTCATTAGCACCCAATGAGAGATTAAATCTCAAACTCAAAATCTCTTGAATAATACACTCAAGAGTCATTATCAAACGCAAAACCGCTCAACCACCCAAAGGTAGGTAGTTAATCATGACTTTATTTTGCGTTCATGTAGAGTATTTTTTTCATCAATTATAGCCCAATTTTTTGCGTTTATACGTGGCCACCGTTATACAAAACGCTACATAAATTTTTAACATATGTGTTCTCGGTGTAAGTACCGTTTCCTTGTGTAAAATATCCATGGAGAAAAGAGTAGACTCCCACAATCTTTCACCTGCAACGGAAGAGAAGGATCTGAGCAAAGAGATTGAATTACTCTCTTCCCAGCTTCGTAAAGCAACAAACTGGGATGGTAGTGAACTTTGCCAATACCAAGGGTTTTGGTGTCGATCAGAGTTCCTTCATGGCATTATCCCTTTTCAAAGACATTTCCAAGCGCAAGACAGTGATTTAATATTGATCACATTTCCCAAATCGGGCACCACCTGGTTAAAAGCCATCACTTTTACCATTGTCAATCGTCCTCGTTATGCACTAGAAAATAGTCCCTTGCTCACTACTAGTCCTCATGTGCTAGTACCTTTCCTTGAATTTGATCTTTTTATGAGAAATCAACCCCCTAGTCCTATTTCTGAAGATCTCCCTACGCCAAGAATTTTCTCTACACCTACCCCATATGCTTCATTACCAAATTCTGTTGTGAATTCTAATTGTCGCATCGTTTACATGTGCAGGAATCCTTTGGATCAGTTTATCTCCCATTGGAAATTCTTGATCCAAATTCATCAAGACCAGAGCAAGGAGCTGGTTTCATTTGATGAAGCTTTTGAGACGGTTTGTAATGGAGTTCAAGGCTTTGGCCCTATATGGGAACATGTGTTGGGATATTGGAAGGCCAGCAAAGAGCAACCGCACAAGATATTGTTCTTAAAATATGAAGATCTAAAAGAGAATATCAACTTTCAAGTTAAAAGAATGGCCGATTTTTTAGGTTGTCCTTTCACTGAGAATGAAAAAAGCAAAGGAATAGTAGAAGAAATATCAAAATTTTGTAGTTTTGATAACATGAAAAATTTAGAGGTGAACAAAACCGGCATACTTCCTTCTGGCGCTAAATACAGTGACTTCTATAGGAAAGGTCAAGTTGGAGATTGGAAAAATTATTTAACACCTTCAATGTCAAAACGCTTAGAAAAGGTATATGAAGAAAAATTTAGTGGCTCGGGCTTGACGTTTAAAACATCCTAAGGGGTTAAGCTTCTATATGTTTGTTACATCAAAATAGCTTTTTATGGTTGTTTCCTACTAGTTTCCCTTTTAATTATTTATGGTGTATGAATCGTTTGAATAAAAATAAACTTTGTTGAAATTGAGTTCTATGTGCAGAGAGATGTAAAGAGCGTGTATTGGCATGACAAGTCCTCGAGGAAGAAGAGGAGATTTCCATAATAAAGTTTCAGGTCTTTTAATTGGGGGCTTTTGATTAAAAGACCATATTGAGTTTAAATTTAATTAAAAAGTTATCAAGTTTCAAACTCTTGACTGAATAGCCTTATTTTTAATTTATTAAGAGTAATTAAACATGATTAGTGCTTAATTAGGATTAATGAAGTATTGTGTAATCTTTTAAAAATAATGTTATGTCCCCAAAAACCTAAAATTGTTGCAAACAAACACAAACCCAAAACAAATTCATTAGCCTCTACCATCCCGCCATTAACGTGTTGGAACTGCCCTTCCCTGGTTGTTGTCTCTTCTTAGCAAAACCAAAGATCTTCTTCTTCGTCTACATCTTCTTCTTCCTTCGCCATTAACACCTTCTTCTTCCTTCGCCATTAACATCTTCTATACCAAAGATCAGCCTCCTCCTCCTCTTGACATTTCGTCCAGGTATGTGTATCTCCTCTTTGCATTTTATATTTCGATTACAAAGATTTAATGATGGATTGGGTTTGGGTAATGATTTTGATTTTGATTTAGCGGTTTAGGTTGTTGGGTTGTGTTTGATGTAATGCAAGTTGAAAGGAGTGAAATTTGTTGATTATTTTCTTGCATTGTGGGCAGTTGGGGGTGGTAGCACCGATTATAGGTGGAGATGATTGAAAATGTATTCTGGATCTGATGGATTGCTTAAGCGATCTGGAATATTGATAAGTGCTTGAAAATACACTTATACTTAGTGGTTTATAGGTATCGTTTGTGGGAAATTAGAATTAATTTGCATGAATAAACATAATTGTTTCATAAATGCTCTTTTCGAGATCACATGTATTTTTGTTGTGTTTTCAAGGAATAAAGCTTAAAAATAATATTCAGATGAGAGATGAGAGATGATGTTGGCGAGAGAATTTGTGATGATTGAAAACAAACGGATCGAGGATCGAACTTGAATTGAAGAAGTTATGGAGCTTTGAAGTAAAGAGGAGATTCTAGATTACGCTCCAGTTTGAGTATGCCTCAGTGTTTCAACTATAACTTGACCTTTAGAGACCATATCGAGATTATTCTTGAACCGTTAGAAAGCTGATTTACAGGACTAAATTTCATATGTTTAACACTTTTCCATATTTCATCATTATCATGCTCAAAAATCACCATCTCTTGAGTGATGAAGAATGATGCAAGGTTAGGAGAGGAATTGGACACTGTGCCGCAGCATTGTGCTGCAACACAACAAGACCAAAATCAACCATGCTACAACACAATGCTGGGGCACAGTCACGACAGCTGGGTTTTTAAATTCCGTGTTTGACTAGGAAATTGGGGTTTTAGGAGTCCTAAACTAAATAGAATTAAGGAAAACAAAACCCTAACCCTTGTGGGATATAAATAGAAGTCTTTTAGCATTATTTTGGGAGGATTCTTTAAAGATAAAAAAGTGAGAACAAAGATATGCAAGAACTCAAGGAAAAGGGAGATTAAAAAAAGCTTGGAGAAGAAGAATTTGAGGAGATCATCATCAATTCCATTAATCCAACCAAGTTTTACTAATTTTTTCTTCTTCTTTGTTATTATTATTTGTTATGAATAATACAATGATGTTCTCATATTTATTCATGAAGAACTAATTCTTTTGTGATTGAGGGTGATTTCAAAACCCTAGACATATCTTGTGATTAATAAAATCTACATCTTTTTATCTTTTAATCCCTCTTGATTATGTGATTTATTCTCTGAGAATAGCGTTGGGTTTCGCTAGATTGTTCTAATTGTTTAAGTGGCCAATTAAATAGTTAGGATTAATTTATTAATGCCAATTTAGGTGGTTTAGTATGGAATCGTTTTATTAACCTAAATAACTAGTGGTAAAGTGTGTGCTTGCATGCATTGGGGGTAATCACTCAAGATAACTAAACCAATCATATGAGTTTAGCCTTGATTCAGTAGGTCTCTTACTTCTTAATGCTTTTATTATTTTTAATCTAGAGATCGTATTCTGGGTTATATAATAAATAGGGAATTGGGTTACAACCGTGTCTAGCCCAATGACTCTGTAAGGAGAGATGGAACTTATCAACGATTGGTATTTTCTGAGCTGATGTGATCAAGAGGGTAGAAAGTTAAAGAGTGTTTTTATTTTATGCAATTCATGTCTAGTGGTGGCGAATAAACCTTCAATCTTTTTTCTCTCATATATTTCTCTTTCGTGAGTATTTGCTTGATTTAAGTTGTTGAATTTAGTTTCTTGGTTTTTGTTTTGATTTATTTTAATTCGTGACAAACCCCATTAGAAGTAGATAATTAATTAAGTTCACAAATCCTCTGCAGGAAAGAACCTTACTTGCTCTTTGCTACTACACGACTTTGCATTAGAATTTAGTGAGGTAAAATTAAGTGTTGCATTTGCATGCATCAAATATCGCTTAAGCGATCTGGTATGTCTGGTATAATGTAACAGATTGCTTAGCCGATCAGGTATCTGGCAGAAGATCGCTTAAGCGATCTATTATAAGTCTCATATATGGCAACAGATTGCTTAAGCGATCAGTTATGTAGCAGAAGATCGCTTAAGCGATCAGGCTTATTTATACCAAATTGCTTAAGCGATATACTGGATCGCTTAAGCAATCCAGTAAGCGCCACATCGCTTAAGCAATACACCACATCGCTTAAGTGGCTCTACAGATGCTTTTTAAAATCTATTAACCCTTAATATGTTGGTTAATAATATTTATTTTCTTGCATTATAGGTACTTGGCTATTATTAGACATGAGACAAGTTGTTTTGGGTGTTGAATATTTTGGTGAGTGGGTGGAGGAAGAAAGTTGTTGGAAGTGGATTGGGAAGAGCAAAGAAGTTATACCAATTGTTGTGAGCACAGAAGTTAGTTTTGATGAGTTGATTGATGAAATAATTAGAAGAGATGATTTGAGTTGCTCACGTAGTGATATAGTTGTGACGTATGTTTTAAGCAGAGTTCCTGAACATTATAAGGGACCTTATATTGTATTAAAGTCAGATTAAGGTGTAAAGTTATTTATGCTTTATGTGGGCGATAATGATTCGAGGCCGATTTTAAGGGTTTCTTTTGTGGATTAACCGTTGGAAGTTGGTTCAAAGAAAGGGATAACGAGGAAGTTGGTGGGGAGAATGCTAATTTTAATTTTAACTACGAGGGCATTGATTTCTTTGATGAAAAATCAAGAGTAGGTGGGTGTAGTTTGTGAGGAAGAAAACACTATGGTCCTTTATGTAGGTTCAAAGGTAGCAATTGCGAATAGTAGTGAATCACCTCATGTTTTTACTGATGGATCAGACTTGCGCGTAGGGTATTTATTTGACAACAAGGAGGAAGCGGTGAGAAAGCTAAAACTTGTTACTGTGAAAGGTACTTTTGAGTTCATCCCCAAAAAGTCTAATTCATCGGTAGTGACAATTGCATGTCGTGTCCGAAAGTGCAAGTGGGGGGTTTATTGTAGAAGGTTGGTAGAGTTGAAAAAATTTATTGTTAGCACATATACCCATGAGCACACATGTGGGTTGGAACATATTTCAGGTAAGCATCGACAAGCCTCTGCTGATGTTATTGGACAATTTGTCAAAAGCCAGTTTGTTGAAGTGAAAGGTCCATCTGCTAATGACATTCAGAGATTTGTGCGCACAGAGTTAGGATGTGATGTCAGTTACTGGAAATGCTGAAAAGGGAGACAACATGCACAAGATTTTGTGAACCAAGGTAGTAAGACGGCTTTGAAGTGGGACAAGAATATGAGGTTTAAATATTTTTTTATTGCTTACGATGCTGCTATAAGGGGTTTTGTAAATATGATAAAGGTGTTGGCTGTTGATGGTTGCTTTTTGACAGGAAAGTATGGAGGTACATTATTGGTGGCCACTGCACAGGACTGCGAGAATCACACATATCTCGTTGCATGGTGTGTGATTGACTCTGAGAACAACAAGTTGTGGACTTGGTTTTTTCAATAATTACTTACGATAGTGCCTAACAGTGACGAGTTGTGCATAATATCTGATAGGCACAACTCTATAAAGAAGGAGATTGCCACTATTTACCCTCTAGCATATCACGGATTCTGTATGAGGCACCTTGGCAAGAACATAAAACAAAAGTTTAAGTGTGCTGGCCTCCTTCAGACATACTACATGGTAGCAAAAGCTTATCGAGTTGATAAGTTCGAGGAGCACTTTCGACAAATCCGAATCAAGGATGATAAAATTGCTAAGTATCTTAAGCATGATGTTGGTTTCGAGCGATGGAGTAGAGCTTACTTTCCTAGAAGAAAATTCAATGTCATGACCACGAATATATTCGAAGTTGTTAATAGAAAGGGAGTTTCTAATTGTTGCCCTTTTTTATGCAATCCAAAGGACATTGTCATGGTGGTTCCACGAGCGTCATACGAAGTCAAATAATTTTAGCATAACAGTAGCTCCATTGGCTGAAAAATTATTGCGAGAACATATGGAATTGTCAAATGCACTGTTTGCCTATCCTCTCAATACTCAAGAGTTCACCGTGCGTGGCTATGGTCTGAATGCCCTAGTTAACCTTCTTAGTAAAACTTGTAGCTGTAAAGTGCTTGACATTCAATATTTACCTTGTCCTCATGCACTAGCAACACTGAAACACCAATGCAAGCCAGATTTTGGTTCAAGAATTTACACGAAACTTTGCTCCCCACTCTATATGGCAAACCACTACATGTTGGCTTATTCAGAAACAATATATCTAGTTCCTCCAAAAGAGCAGTGGGTGGTGCCGCCACAGTTGCTTGACATTATCATTCATCCCCCATTCAAGAAGACAAAAAAAGGGAGAAAAAAAAGTTAAGCGTATTCCATCATCTCGTGAGGTTTCTCGAAGGATGAATAAGTGCTTAATTTGCAAGCAACTTGGCCACAAGAAAAACAGTTTCAAGAATCAATCATATACAGATCAAGAAATTAGCTTCAAATCGATCAGAAGTAAGCAAGCAAGCTGCTGTTA